TAATTTGCAAGACAGTAAGAGAGGAACCTCTCCCCTAGGTGCACTTCTTTGGTATGAAACAGAGATCAATGCTGTTGTTTTCAGGTGGTGTGAAAGCTGGCAAGATTGACTCAAGAAATTAACTCTGAGGGCTCCTGAAGGTCTGATCTTTGTCCTACCTTCACGCCTCTCTCTCTCCAGGCCTGTATTAGCTTGTTCTCTTGTTTTACAAAAGAAGAAATTCTTCCTGCATCGGGCAACGCTCACAAGCAGATGATTTCTGTGTTTGCATGTGGTCCCATTCAGTCCAAAGGGAACAGTCATATGTGCTTGATCTGGCTGGCTCTCAACAGCTGTTCCCCTCCCCATAAAGGACCTAACCTTAGAGCCTCTGTTTTCTCATTTCTCCATTAATAAAGTCACTCAGCACCTCTACACACACCTCTACTGTATGTTGCTCAACCCCCGGCTTTATTCTCTACACCCATGTCACTTTGATCCTCATCTGCCTGCTGCTCCTAAAGAATTATTTCTTCCCTCTGCACCCCTACCCCTCACTTAGCACTGTCAGATACAACCTTGGATGGCTCTTTCTTCTGCTTTCTTCCACATAGGGGCTGACATGAACACACATGGTAACACTAGCACTCCAAATCCCCCTCTCATTGCAATGCTAGGTGATAACAATTCTCACGTTACCTGCAGTATGTCGCTGCCTTGCTGCAAAGGAGGGGACTGAAAAGGATCTCTATCAGAAGGGAATAAGTTGGAGTCCTGTGTTCATTGAATACATTTTCCAATGTTAATGGCACCCCTAGCCATACTTTCTACAGGGCTGCCATAGTCATGACTGTTTATTGACTGGTAGCAATGCAGTTTGTGGTCTATCTTTCGGACAGAGAAGAGAGAGTTGGTCGACACTGTCAGAGGCCTCTGGCAGTTTACAACATCTGAGCACCTGTCCTGCAATCTTGCCAAGTACCCTTCTCTTCTGCATCTCTGTATTGATAGGAGACAGGCTAGTCCCAGCTCTCCCACACACTTCCTGGGAGGCCTCAGGCAAATCATGGAGGGTGCAGGCCCTCTGCATGTGGAATTCCTAGTGCAACTGCTGAGGGAAGCACTCAGTCACATCCGTGAGGATCTGGAAAATGGAGACAAATCCATTCCCCTGTGAGGTAGTCAGATAAGACAGTGATGGGAAACAATTATGGTAGGTACACACCCTCCTCACCCAATGGGACACAGGCCCTCCTACACAGAGATGGCAACCCTGGGCATGATTGTAGCCTCTGAAGAATTTAATTTTCCTTCCAGCTACTGCTCCAGGCATTCCTGTAATAAGATTGTGTGCTGTGGCTACATCAGGCACTGAATGAAGAAGCTGCTGTGCATCAGATGTGGGGCTTCGGCTCAGGGCCAAGCTGACTTTTAAATGATTAATTGATAGGAGTGTTTAAAAGATGACATAACTACAGCATGTATTTAGCCATTAACACATGCACTCTGGAGAAATCACAGGGCTTTCTTAAAAGGTTCAAAGTTAAATTCAGACCAACAGGCAGGAGTGCTGCAGCTAAGGTTTGCCTTCAAAGAAATGAACATGTAGCTAAACAACACTGTGTCCTTTGCCCTATTAGAGTCATCCATCATCCCACAGCTCCCTCAGCTTCTATACTCCAATAACAAGGCATTCAGGGGGAGAAGGCCTGGGCTGTGCTTGGCGGTAAGTGATGGCGATGATGACAATTTGTGATGCTGGTGAAACCATCCCGCTCAACTCTCAGAAAAATCTCGTAGGCAGTTTTAGGATCCATCTGACATAAGAGCTGATGCTCAGAAATTCGGTGGCAGCCTTCATCTGGAGTTCATCACCACAGCTGGGCTGCAGCGTCTCGGTGAAGCAGGATTCCACCAGATGCTGCCGGTTCTTATGAATCAGAATGTTTTGCTTTTGATGGACTTCTGCTGAAAACCAGGTAGGCACCCATTTGAATCCAGTACAGCTGCAGTGGCTAGCACCTCCCAGAAGTTATCACTGCAGCTCACTCCCAAGAATAGAAGCAAGCTAAATTACTTGCCACTGTGCAGAATGGGTCTGTTTTGGATTTGCTCAGTGTTACAGACTACCCAGATTGAGAGGCAGGGATAAAAGCATCCATACCCCTCTGTTCTAACTGCTGGTCTATTCTGCCGGCCTGTGACACATTACTGAAAAATTCAGGTAGATTTAACAATACAGGGTAGCACAAAGAAGCAAATTACACTGATTTCCTTTACATTGTACACTTAATTCATTTAGTCCCGGGTGGTTGCAGTGGATACAAATAAAGAGCTACTCCTAATGAATGAATTATGCACATTATGTTGTGTAAAACTGAGACCTTTTACTTCCTGCATATGCCAGGGGGAAGGGTCATTTTTATTCCCATATTTCATTTAATATCCCATGTTTTATTCCTTTCCCTTCTATTTTGTAAGGAGCAGCCCAGAGTGCCCAAGCTACTAATGACAGGGATTTCCTGCAGGATTTATTAGAGAGCTTTGATCTCTTATTACAGGGGTAGCTTTAGTGAGCACTGTCTAGTTGTTGCCTGTAGTTTAGAACTGGATTCCCTTTAGGCTTCAGCTGGGGGCATAGGAGTCTATGGAAGGGGTTTCTAGTTCAGTGGACAGGGCACAGGATTGGGAGTCAGCACACCTAGGCTAAGTACAGACAGTCAAACAGCCTGAGGCTGAGTCAATTCAGTCTTTGTGAGTTAGTCTAAACTGCAGAAATTAAACTGAGAAACAACTAGATAAGCATTCACTTTTATTCAGGAAATGCAGCCACATGCCTATAGTGGCTCAGGCCAGAAGATGGGGGCACTAGAGCACAGCTGTCTGGCACATAGCCAGGATGAACTGTGTGTTCATTTCTTCTTCCTGCTGCCCCAGAAGTCTCTTAAGATTTGCAGTCCAAAATCACATAAACAGGACTCTGCAGGGTGCTCATCATTTCTTCTTCCTGCTTCAAGGTGCCTCTGGGATTCATAATCTACAGTTGCAGCCAGCAGTAAATTTTTAGCAGGGCAGGGCAGCTCTTTACTCAGGGGGGGGGGGGGGTT